GTGTCCGTGCAAAGAAGTCCTCTAGATGGCTGAGGACACTCTCCAGTTCTGCCAGGGCTTGTTGGCATTTCCTGCTGCTCACCTCAGTGGTGGCCCGAGGCTGCTTCTTCAGCATCTCCTCTGCCTGTAATGACAAACAATGGTGGGAGAGAAGGGTAAGTCAAGGAGAAGCTAATGCCCTTTGAAAAGAACCCTGCTGGGATATACACATAGACTTACAGGACTAAATTTCTAGCTCAATGAACTGCTACAGCTAAAACACTGTGTTTTATCATAGGGCATTATATTGAAAAGGAAAACATATTATTTGTACAAAACCATAATTCTCCCACATTTAGAAGAGCAAACAGTGTTCTGAAGGTGGAGGGCATCCAGATGTAAGCAACTAAACAAGAGATTTGGTGGCATGACAAGTGATAATAGGAATTAGGATTATTTGGTCTAATAAACATAACTTTGAACTTGTTCTTCCACTTAAACATAGTAAACTGAACACATGCTTATCTGTGCTTCCACCTGAAATACTACAAAATGAGAGAAAAGAAATTAAGAAACAAAGGAAGGAAAGAAGAGGAAAGAGCAAGAAACAGAACTCTGAAGGGCAAAGAACCAGAGACTATACAACACTGGCCAAAGGCAATCACAAAGTTTTGGAAGATAGAAAGCAGATGAAGAGTTAAGAGTTCAAGTGAGCTGAATAGCAAGTGCTAACAGAAGGGATCCCCAAGGGATCCAAACTGATTCACACAGCAGAACCCCATAAAGGTTTAGTAATTGGTGATATAGGCACCACAGAGGCAAGAGTGAATATGGGGAAATGAATAGAAATCTGTGTAAAGATGCTTAGATCATCTGCCAAATTTCTCCCCCAGCCAGAGGGAAGATTTTCCAATACTATGTTTAAAGAATCCCCCCACAAAGAGATCACCAGGTTCCCATCTAATCTCCCTATAGTGAAGTCTATCAGCTCCTAAGGCCTAGGTATGCAAACAGAGCTTGTAATGATTTATTCCTTTTTTTTTTTTTTTTTTTTTTTTGAGATGTAGTTTCACTCTTGTTGCCCAGGCTGGAGTGCAATGGCACAATCTCGGCTCACCACAACCTCCACCTCCCGGGTTCAAGCAATTCTCCTGCCTCAGCCTCCCGAGTAGCTGGGATTACAGGCATTTGCCACCACACCTAGCTAATCTTGTATTTTTAGTAGAGACGGGGTTTCTCCATGTTGTTTCAGCTGGTCTCAAACTCCCAACCTCCAGTGATCCGCCTGCCTCAGCCTCCCAAAGTGCTGGGATTACAGGCGTGAGCCACCGGTGCCGGGCCTGATTTATTCTTAAATACTCACGAGACACAGAATAAAAGCCTCCAACATGGAAGTCAAAGACCAGAACAAACAAATGGGGAATGGATTCTAGAAGAAACTGAGACACTGCAAGGAACACAGAAAAACTTCAAAAATTCAGTAATATCCTCAGGCAAAAGAAGTTCATGGGGGTGGGGTGGGGTGGGGTGGGGTGGCGTGGGGCGGGGGTGGCTCACACCTGTAATCCCAACACTCTGGAAGGCCAAGGTGGGTAGATCACCTGAGGTCAGGACTTCAAGAGGTGAAACCCCGTCTCTACTAAAAATACAAAAATTAGCCCAGTGTGGTTGCACATGCTTGTAATCCCAGCAACTTGGGAGGCTGAGACAGGAGAATCGCCTGAACACGGAAGGTGGAGGTTGCAGTGAGCTGAGATCGTGCCACTGCACTCCAGCCTGGACGACAAGAGCCAGACTCTGTCTCAAAACAAACAAAAAAAATTAGCCAGGTGTGGTGGTGCATGCCTGTAATCCCAGCTATTTGGGAGGCTGAGGCAGGAGAATCACTTGAACCTGGGAGACGGGGGTTGCAGTGAGCCAAGATTGTGCCACTGTCCTCCAGCCTGGGTGACAAAACAAGACTCCATCTCAAAAAAAAAAAGAAGTTCATACAGAAATTAAACAGGATCTATTAAAAAGAAACATGCAGGTTAGGCACAGTAGCTCACACCTGTAATCCCAGCACTCTGGGAGAGGCTGAGGTGGGCAGATCACTTGAGGTCAGGAGTTTGAGACTAGCCGGGCCACCATGGTGAAACTCTGTCTCTTCTCCTGCCTCAGTCTCCCAAGTATCTAGGACTACAGGTGCATGCCACCATGCCCAGCAAATTTTTGTATTTTTAGTAGAGATAGGATGTCTCCATGTTGGCCAGGATGGTCTTGATCTCTTGACCTTGTGATACTTAGACCCCTTTTCTACCTGCCTCCCATCTAAGAGCCACAAAGTCTTCCCACCAACTTGCTCCCAAAGCCTGTGCCTACCTGGGGAGAAGGTTTTCGGTAAAAGTGCTTAAGCTGGTCATAGGGTAGAGGTAGTTGCTGCCGTTGGTACATGATATGCTTTAGAAGTTCACAAGTAAACCGAGAGCAGCCTTCCTGGCTCACAGGCCCAGGAAACACCACTGGTACCATGCAGTCTCTTGGGCAAAAGGGCTCCAAAGGGTTGGGGGATTCCTGGGTAGAGGTTGTCTCAAGTAGTTCTATCTGAGAGGCGTGAGTTTCTCCGGACTTCTCATACCACTCCAAATCTGGAAGGTGAAAAGAGGGTCAAGAGAAAAAAATTAAAAACCTAAAAGCCAAAGTCAATCTTCTGATTCCCTGTGGCCACCATACCGCAGGCCACCCTGCGAAAAGGGGCACTCCGACATACGCACATACCCTCCGCAGCCTACAGTGTGGGAGAGGCAGGGAGAGACTCCTGATTCCTGTTGCCTGAGATTTAACTGACTGCAACATAGTGGGGGGATTTCGGAAGTAGTACTAGGGCTCCGCTCAGAAAGCAGCGGGACCTGATCTGAGGAAGTAAGTCAAAAGTGTAGTCAAGCAGGGTCCAGGATGACCCAGGGCGATGGAGTGACAGCCAGAGCCGTGTAGGACACCCGGAAGACAGGAAAGACGGGCTGGGGAGGGGACAAGGGGATAAATGAATGGAGGGCGTGACAGTAGGGAAGAAACAGGTCCCCAAGGCTCCCCAAACTCTGAACCACATGTCTTACCAGGGACTGAGGCCGGGGACAGAACCTCTGCCTCCGGCGCCGCCATCACGACGTCTTCCCTCTACTCTCTGCGGTTACAATAAAGATCCCGCGGGGCATCATGGGAAGCCCACGCCTCCACTTCCGGCTGAGATGGGCCGGAAGAAAGCACGGCACTGTCGCAGTGTGGGGGAGGCTAGATGGATGGGATTTGAATCCTGCTTTCCTTCCTTAACACTCTGGCAAGGGTACACCTAGCCCTTGCCTAGCAGGCTTCTCAGCCACCGAGCGCTGCTTTCCAGAAGACACCAGCCCTCCCGCATCCATTCACTCCTGCATTCACTACCCACTGTGCACCTCCTTCGTGCCAAGCCCTGTTCTAGGTGCTGGAGACTGAGCAGAGAACAAGCCAGGCACGGACCCCGTGCTCAAGGGGTTCACTGCCTGTAGATACAATACAATGTGATAAATTATACAGAAGCGTGTACACGGGCTGTGAAAGCAAAAAACAAGAGTGGGTAGGGGCTGGGAAGGAGTGGTCCCAGAAAAAATATGTCAGCAAGGTAAAGAGGAGGGCCTAGAGCTCCTGCAGACTTTGAGACAAGAGCATACTCTGTCCAAGAAATGGAAAGAATTCATATTTTAAAGAGTTAAGGCTGTAGTGAACAACAGAAGCCAAACCATGGCAGGACCTTATAAGCCACGTGAGAGTTTGGATTTGATCCTGTAGGCGGATGGGGAAGCTTTGAAAGGTTTTAAGTAGGAAAGTGGCCTGATTAAATTACTTCTTATAAATTTAATCTGTACCCTGGCTGTAGGATAGAGATTGGATTACAGGGAGGATAAGAAAGGAGGGAGAGATACCAGTTAGAGGTAGTGACTGCAGTTACCCAAGTACTTAATGAAAGCAGCCTAAACTAGGGTAGTCACAGTTGGGTGGAGATAATTGGGTAAACTCGAAATATTTAGGAGGTCTAGTAAACATAACTTGGTGATTGATGCACGGAGGAGAAGGAATAGAAAGAGACTGATAAGAAAACAAGCAGGTTTCTAACTTCAGCAATTGTATGGTCAGTTGTGCCATTCAATGACAGAGGGAAGGAAGGTGCTGAAGCCAGGGGTTCGCTACCAGCCAGGACAACACTGGGGACCCTGTTTCTGCAAAATTAAAAATTAAATTGATTTGCTGTAGCTTTGATTTAAAAAGAAAAAAAAATTAAATTAAAAAAAAAAGCCAGGTATGGTGGTGCACATCTGTAGTCTCAACTATTCAGGAGGTTGAGGCAGAGGATTGCTTGATTCCAAGAGTTCGACACTTACAGTGAGCTATGATCATGCCACTGCACTCCAGCCTTGGCAGCAAGGCAAGACCATGACT